CGAACTATCAAAGCACATTGGTAAGTTGGCTAAGTTGTTCTCTGTACTACGTACTATTTTTACATTTCATTAAAACAGGGGAGGGATCTCACAGGTGAAAACTACAGCAAATAAAAACAAAAAATCGACTCAGGAACCACTAAATGAAAAGAGAAATGACATAAGAAATGGAATAGCTAATACTGACGACTAACCTGTGGGCAAGATTGAACCTCCCCATCTGGTATGGGGAGAAGAGATTGGGAGCAGAGCCCTGAACCAGTGCGGCGGTTTGACTCATGATCCGGTGGTTTGACCGGCCTCCGATGACGGAATATAGCGAAACTGAGTTGGTGGGGAAGATGGATCAGTATATAATGAGCGTATCCTAAAAAGGCATTTATAGTGGCCGTCCACTTTCGAGAAGGAAGTTGAAAAGCAGTGGAATAAAACATGTGTTCTTTTGCCTGCCCCTTCCTTCTTTCTAACTGGTAGGTGAGAATAATGGGAACTTTCAAATGGGATGTGGGCTGGAAAATCAAAGTGGGAATGCAAAATGCCGTAATTATGTTTTTTCCATCTATGGTCGCATTTGAAATGGACCATAAATAAAACTTATTTAAATACACTTTCTATTATGGAGTATATTTTATCTTCTTTCCCATTCAATGGCATCTTCATACTCCGTATTTAATAATTGGGAAAGTTCCCGAAATGGGACTAAAAAAGTTCGAAAATTCCAAAATAGGACTGTCATGTTTTTATTCCCAAAATAGGACTAATTACTGCCAAATTTGGAAAATACTGCCATGTTTGAAGTCTGGTACTGTCAAAACATGGCAGTAATTAGTCCTATTTTGGGAATAAAAACATGGAAGTCCTATTTTAGAATTTTCAAACTTTTTTAGTCCCATTTTGGGTAATATCTCTTAATAATTTTCCTATAGCACGTTGAATTTTAATATGGAGTAACAACATAAAATTCATAATAACCACACAAAGTTCAATACTACCTCCGTCCCCTTATGTTTGGGACAAAGAGGTGTGGTGAGATTTTTAAGAAAAAGTAGATCTGTGTGGTTGATATTAAATTGATAAAGTGTGAATAGTGTAAGAATGAATTGTAGCCACTCAAACATTACCAAATATGGTATGTGACAAACTTAATGGGACGGACGAAAAAGGTAAAACGGGACAAACTTAGGAGGACGGAGGGAGTATAAAATTATTATTATTATTATTATTATTATTTGTCAATTATTTCTAACTTATATAGTATCTCCTTAATGTTAATGCCAACATCCTTGAACTGGGATGAGATTCGAACTTGTGACCTCGTCCTTGGGAGTGCCACAGTGATGCCATCAGACCTCAAGGTACTTGGTAATATAAAATTATTATTAAATAAATGAAAAATAAATACAAAACAAAGTTTATCTTTAATATCACACGTCCCACAAATTAAAGTGTACGTCCTGATAAAGATTTTTGAATAGATAATTATAAAAGCAATCCAATTTTTAAAATGGTATTGCTTAGCTTCTCTTGAATAAAAGGCTTTCGATCAAGGATGATTTCTTTTGGACTGTTTTCGGTCCCAGACCAGATCAGACCAGACCAGATCAGACCATACCAGATCAGACCAGACTAGACCAGACCAGACCAGACTTCCGTAGTTATAAAATACACAGAGACCAGACGTTTACGAGACCAGACCAGTTCAGACCAGCCCAGACCAGATCATATCAGACCAGATCAGACCAGCAAATTTCAGCCCAAAAGAAAACATCCCAAGTCCATAGAAATGGTTATGTTTTAGGAAACTCAACTATTTTCTATTTATATAAGATTTGCAAATTATCAATGATGATATGTATCCAGTATACCCAAAAATATATTTCAAGGTTATTGATCGAATATAAACTTAACAATCGATATAGTATTAGTAAACAATTCGTGCCCACAAGTACACTAAGACACACGTTGAGAATGCAGCATACTTCGGATACCTGTGCAAAAGTATGAACTTACACACTAAAATTGGCTAGATACATTATTCTAAATATATAGAGTTTGAAAAAGAGAAGTTTGAGTCCTTTTATAACTCTTGCGGATAGCGGAAACTATTGGTCCATTACACGATATTTGAGAGATAGACATATAAGATTGAATTAGGATGTACTATCTCCGTCCCAAATTGATTTGCGAATTTGACTTTTCTTGGTTAAACAGTTTTATTTTATTAACTTAATTAGGATGTCAATTTTTAATTATATTCTAATTTGGAATTTGGAACTTTGAAGAGATTTTAATATAGTTTCTGAATATGTAAATTTTAATTATTAAAAATTGAATTAATTATCAATAGGGAGCATTGACTTTTATTATTAGTTGACCAAAAAATGTTGACTTTGCAAAACAAATTAGGACGGAGGGAGTATTTACACGGACTTAAATTTTATGATCTTATCTAGTACTACCTCCGTTCTTAAATAAGTGCAACATTGCAAAATTTTCACTATTCACATGTTCTACTGTGACTACATTTTATTTATTGATGTATTAATATATATTTTTGAAAAAAAATATTACAAAATTTGTCTCATTGTAAATTTTCAAAATCTGATTTTTTTAATTTTTTTTTACTAATAGAGAGTTATATATATTAATGGTCAAAGTTGTGCCTCGGCAAATGTGAAATGTTGACTGTTGCACTTATTTAAGAACGGAGGTAGTATGATTCAATATGGTCTGGTCTGGCATGATAGATGTTTGGTCTCTACGTATTTTACAAGTGTTGAAGTATGATCTGGTCTCAACTGGTCCGATTTGAGACTGAGATAAGTATAAGTAAAAGCATTTTTAATAACTACTCCGTAGAACATATATATCTCCAAATTTGAATGATTGTATTTGTTTTTAAAAAGTTTTTCTTCACAATATCAGGTGCAATGTTTGGATGTGTACATTGTTGTTGACATTGTTTAGATCCTACATGTTGGGATATCCGGCCCAAACTATCTTAAGAGACCAGTAAAAACGGTAAGCCAAGGGGAAGCCCAACGAAACTGAACAGTCCCGAACGGGAGGTCCTCAGTTAGCAAGGAAGTCGTTCGGGGCATCCCGAACTGAGCTATATCCTATACTTGGGGCAGATAGGCAACAACATTCTTGTCTGCTAACCGCCTGAGCCCAACACCCGGTCTAGAGGTCTGGCAAGTGGCAAGCTGCATTGAATGCTGGAGTATGGCGGTCGCAAGTGGAAGCATGGGTGCACAAGTGGCAAGAGGAGCAACCAATCGGGTTCGCGCGGCCACGTCATCCTGCCACCTATCCCCTTTCCTAGTATAAATAGGAGCATTTACTCTATTGTAAAGGATTATCATTTTGATACTCAGAAACATATATTCTCACTCTAGCTCTTGTATTAGCATTAGAACCGAAGTGCCGTTCGGTCATTTACTTGTAATCAGTAATATTTCCTTAATACAAGCGAGCTGTTGAGTGCACCGTTACTTAATCTCATTCCTTAATCACTGTCACGATAAATCATCCTTAATATCCCAAAGTTTGTGCTGGGCTTTCGGGTCTACGGGATTAAACCTCAACACTACTTAATATTAGATCAAACATATATTTTATATTTATATTTTTGTGCGTGAATTGAAGACTTATTTAAATAGGGAAATTTCTTGAAATATGAATAAAATGTTTGAAAATTCCAAAATAAGACTAGCATGTTCAAAAATTTAAAGACCAGAGTAGTAGAGGTCTGGCGGGAGAAGATACTCCATAATACATATACTCCGTATATCCTTCTCATGTGATACAATTCTCATACACCCCCGGCCATTGGATTTCTAATTAACGTGTTGAATTTTGGGCGCATTATAGGACATCATGAGGGCCATGCGTGTAAAACTGTAAAAGTCATTCATCTCAATGTACTTCTTGATCGATATGATTTTCTTAAACTCTAGTATTCCTCACTCGTTTATCTCTCTACTAAATAAACACAATAGTTTTAAAAATGATCAAAGCGTTATTTAAGGGTGTGTTTGATAACTCATGTTTGGGCTGATCTGACTTATTAGCTAGTTTTTACCTAATAAATAATGTTTTATTTAGCGCACTATTTTAGCAATTTTCATATAATTCTTTCTTTATTTTATTAGTAACCTTGTTCCTCTAGCATTAGTACAGGACGAGGTGATGTGATTACCAAGAAAAATGAATTTATGTGTTGTACTTGTATATTGAATTGATAAAGATAGTATAACGTAAGAATGATTTAGTGGAATTGACTCAAAAGGAAAGATGAAACAATATAATCTTCACGGGACATATGAAGTTAAATACGACAGTATAATTTTTTTCATAATTAAGTCAACTCAATCAATTCAACGGTTCAACCACATCCACAAGAATTTTATCAATTCCAATATATTCAACCGGTTCAGTTATGAGTGCTAGCAAACGATTCTAATTTTGAGGAAACTCCGAGTTAAACAAGCGAACTTATTTTTGTCCAAACTTTTTGAATAGGATCAAAACCTATCAGGCCATCACATTTCTTCAAATAAAACTAATATTATTCCACTTAAATAGGCCTCATTCATTTTATAGAAAGAACATTGAGATCTTCTTATTCTTTAATTTTATTAGAACTAAATAAATCGCAATTTGAGAAATACAAAATAATTAATCCGTATTTGTGAACTTGGTGCATATAGTATTACACTATTACGACATGAGCAATATAATTTCTTGACATTTTAGTAGATGCAAAATTAAGATCCAGGTGGCACAAATGGAAAAGAAGCTAACTTGGTAAAAACCCGCAAAGGATGTGTATGTGATGAGAAGTAAAACCTCATGGTAATGAGTGGCAAGTGGCAAAAAGAACCTGAAATTTGGTGCAAGGGACACGGAGAGTTGATAGCTTTCTTAAAAAGTGGATCACCACCAGTAGAGTTTGGACCGATAATAAGTATAAAAGGGCATGTAGCCAGTGCATTGTCATAACACAACGTACGCAATTGCATGCACTATATCAAACAAACAATAAGAGACAACTCTCAAATAAAAAACAGGAACATCAACAGGTGTTGAGCAAGCATGGGGATCCCTTCAAAGCAGCACATTAATGTAACACTTCTAGTTTCATTGATGATCTTTAGCCTTTCATCAGCTGATCCCTTATTTGGATTTAGGCCCGAAGATGATGATGCTACATCGTCCATACTCAAGTCGATGGCGCCGACACCATCCAAGCCGCATCCACCAGCACCAGCACCAGCACCAGCACCATCCAAGCCACATCCACCCGTGCCTACGCCATCCAAGCCGCCTCATTCACCGAAATCTCCAGCACCTACACCATCCAAACCGGATTCACCCGCGCCTGCACCATCCAAGCCGAAGCACGCACCGAGCCCGGGACCACATCCACCCACACCCTCACCAAGGGCACCATTGTATCCACCCCCACCAGCACCGAAGACGGGACGAAGGCTTGCATCGCTCCCACCAGCCCCAGCACCAAAGCTAGCGCCGAAACCCTCACCAAAGCCAGCACCAAAGGTCTCTCCATTGCCACCTTCATCTGAGCCGGCGCCAAAAGTCGCACCCACGCCACAATCACCATCCCCAAAGGCACCATTGCATCCACCAACACCAAAGTTGGGACGAAGGCTTGCCTCATTGCTAACATCACCGATGCCCACACCCGAACCCTCCCCGATGCCATCACCCAAACCCTCCCCGAAGCCCACACCAAAACCCTCACCGAAGCCATCACCAAAACCCTCACCGAAGCCATCACCCAAACCCTCACCACCATCACCAAGGGCACCGTTGCATCCACCCCCACCAGCACCGAAGCTTGGGCGCAGGCTTGCATCATTGCCTCCACATTCATCACCCAACCCGACACCTAGCCCTCTCCAAAAATGAGTTAGAATAAGCTAATTATTGAGATTGAATGCATTGGTACGTCTTAATAAATTAAGATTTCAATAAAGAAACTCTGATTATTTGCTTATGAGGTCATTATTCACATCTCTCTATACGGATGGTGGGTTTGTATTAACGAAAAATTTTGAATTATAGAAAATTTTCAAGTTCTCTTTTCGTTTCTTTGCTTTTAACCGCATAGATGCATACATACACATATACTAGTAGTAATTACTAGCATCGTGAACGTCTGATATGCGTTACCGCATAGATGCATACATACACATATACTAGTAGTAATTACTAGCATCGTGAACGTCTGATATGCGTTTGAGGTAATGGTGAACTAGTAAAGTTTGATTATATGATAATTTATGCTCCATTTTATCAACCGGCACTGTATTGTGCATTCTATAGTGCTACATGTAAACGACTTTTCATTGAAGTAATAGAAATTGATTCACAAATAAGACTAATTTATTTCCCAAATATGACTTATTTAGTCCTAATAAAAGAATGGAAATATTCCCTGAATATAAGTAAAAACGTTTTAAAATTTCAAAATAAGATTAATTACTATCAAATTTGAAAAATATTGTTATGTTTAAAGTCTGTTCTGTCACAACAAGACATTAATGGGAAATAGACCTTAATAAGACCAAAAGATAGTCAATGCATCTAAATAAGACCAGCGAGATTTTTAAACATAAATAGGACTAAAAGTTGTGTTGATGACAAATTTACCCTTTCATTAAAAATCTTAGTTACACGGGACAAAAGAAACAGATCTAGGTGTTGCTCCACTTTTAAACCCCGTCCAGAATCTTCACCCAATCACCCCCAATCCTCTACAGCCACCGCCACAACACATCAGCGCCGCCGCCGCACTTGCCCCTGCTACCACCGCACCTCGTCTCCATCGCCGCCGCCGTACTTGCCCCTGCTACCACCGCACCTCGTCTCCACTGTTGTACCTCGCCCTACTGCCGCCTACCCGCCTACCTCTGCACCCTGCCGCTGCCGCCGTTAGGGCCAGCCCTGCCCATGTGTAGGAGGTGCAGCCGCACAGGGCCCACGTTCAAGGGAGGGCCTCCAATTTAGCCCATGTGTTAGAGTACTACATAGGAATTTTGATAAGGCTTGTCTGCTGCTGAATTTGGAAAAACTGTCAAATAGGTCCTCGAACTTTCATAAAAAAGTCAATTAAGTCCTTCTATTGGAAGTTCTGTCCGGCCGTCGCGATTTGGGGCAGTTCCCGGTGGAATTTTTTGATGAATTTTTTTTAGCATCTTATTCACCAAGTCTAGTTTACTCATACCAAATTTCAGCTAAAAATTCAATTGGGAACACATTCAAATTAATTCTTGAAGATAACTGTGCATTTTTGCGTTCTCGAATTAATTTGAATGCGCCCCCGATTAAATATTTAGCTTAAATTTGGTATGAGTAAACTAGACTTGGTGAATAAGATGCTCAAAAAAAATTCATCAAAAAATTCCACCGGGAACTGCCCCAAATCGCGACGGCCGGACAGAACTTCCAATAGAAGGACTTAATTGACTTTTTTATGAAAGTTCGAGGACCTATTTGATAGTTTTCCCGCTGAATTTTAAGAACTTGGGAAAAGGGAAATATGGAGAACTGGGGAAACGATAATAACATTGATAAGATTAATCATCCCATAGGCTTTTCATGTTTCCTTATTTCTTAACGAATAGTTGAACACCATAGGCTTTGGGGAATGGGGATAAATTCTTAAACACATACACCTAGATCGAGCTTCTCTGTGCCTTCAGCCTGTTTTCCGCTTCAATTTTTTACGGAGTATTTGTTATCTTTTGATTGTTTTCATTTTATTTTATTATAAATATTATGATTTATATTTGAGGGCCTCGTATCAGATTGTTATCAGATTTATTAACAGATAAGAATGCATAGACGACTGTTTTCATGCTTATGTCTATGATTACGGTGACCATCACAATGCCAAAAAAATGACATTGTAAAACAATATCAATACTACAAAAAATTACATTTCTTATATAAAAGTAGATTATTGACAATAAATAAATGTTAAGAAAAAATATCAAAATGTCAATTTGACTATAATGATAATGTCAATGCTACAAAAAGAAAATCGCAATATCAAATGACAACAATGACAATAACATAGACATTGTCAATGTCAATGTTATAAAAATGACAACATCAATGTCAATGTTATAAAAATGACAACATCAATGTCAATGACTATCAATGTTATAAAAATGACGTTAAAAATAATGTTAAAGCTATAAAAATGACATTGTTATCCACGTATTATAAAATGTCATTCGATGACAATGTAATACATGCAATGTCATTATATGACAATGTAAAGATGTCATTGTTTGAAAATTAACCGTTGTCATGTAACATTGCGAAATTATATAATAACATAACATTATGACATTGACGTGCACTTGTCGTGATGTGCACTCAAAATAATAATCAATACGACACTAATACGTAGTATAGTGTAGTAAGGTTCGTATCCACAGGGAAAGGAATACTTTTCTTCTTACAAGAATAAATAAGTAACAATAAGGGGGGTTTATATTTGGTTGATGAACTTTAAATTATATTTAAACACGAAGATGAACGAGTTATGTGATTTAATTAATTAGAAGAAGGCTTGGCTTTGCTTTTATCCACTTAATGAAATGTTCGTCGATCCCGGTTATATCTTTAACTATCTTCCTCTCGAATACTCAATCGAGGAGTATATCCAATTCATCGAGGGTAGTTATTAATAACGAGACGCGTTCATTAATAAAACTTACTACCGAGTCAATATAGAACACGTGCCGTATATTTACTTGATAGTAGCAATAAAATCAAGATGAAAACGATTGAGATTGATAACCTCAACACAAGCGGTTTATCGGTTTAATCAATATAATTAATTCCCCTTGGCTTACTAACCATGAGACGCATGCATTAGCAACCCAAGTTTACTACCGTGAAAGGACTGAGTTAATAACAAGCGTATTAATCGACCGATTCTAGTATTAATTAATATATGAAACAAAACTAGTTGATCCTTTAAGTATTGCTCAAAATAGTAATATGTAATAGGAATAAGAATTAATTAATATTCAAGGAAGAAGATCAAAGAAAATAACTCACAACTTACAATTCATTAAGCTTCAAAGTAGCAAAACCAAGATGGAAGAGTTTAGCTCCTCATTTGGAGACTAAGCATGATAAAAATATAAAGAAAGAACTTGTCTAGACTGAGCTTAGAAGTATATAGGAATTGGTGATTTTATTGTGAAGGAAAGGAGTGTATTTATAGGCTTTTGGGAGCTGCAGGGTCTGATACCCGACCGGGTATACAGGATACCCGACCGGGTATCTTAGGAAATTGCCCAGAAATTCACTTTTCTGGGCATACCCGATCGGGTATGTCGGCATACCCGATCGGGTATGTGACAAATCTTTACGAAAATTTGCTCCCACGTTCATTTGTTCTCGGATTTGATTTGGACAATCGAATCAAGTCAATACCCGATCGGGAATAGGCAATACCCGACCGGGTACATGAGTATTTTTTCCAAATCAAAATCTTTCTTGCCTCCTTGCACTTTCCTTGATCTTTTATGTGACACCGCACCCGTGTGTACCCGAATTTACTATTTGAAAGTTTCGTAATTGATGTTTTGAACTTGTTATTACCAGCCGTGTGTAACACGTGTGTTATCTTATGTAACTCATGCTTTGACATTGTGTGAAACGAGTAGTGTTTGATGTAACTTGTGTTTGTTAACCTATCGTTGGGATCCGTGTTTCGTGAGTGAGTTTCCAAATACTGATGTGGGCCAGCTTGGTTAGTATAAGAGCCCGATATTATATGGAGAGAAATCACATTACCAAGACACAAATAATAACACTCAATTTTCCTCCGTAAGGAATTATCGGTAAGGATTTTCCTTCCGGGCTGACTTGGACCCAAGGGGGTGCGTCCCACACCTCCTTGGCACTTACAAGACAAAGAGAATATGGTATGTTGACTTTTGGGGCGGACCATGATGGAGTGGGGTTGTGTAGAGAATAAAATGATAAGGGTTGGACCCCATTTGTACTTATTTAGTAAGACTTGGTGGAGAATCCTCCACACCCCACTCAACCCACTCCACACAAAAGGAATAACCTTTTGGGAGGCCTAAGGGTCAGCCTTAGTACCCCCCATTCGAATTTACTTGGCTCCTAAGAGAAAAGAACCGATCAGAACAAAGAAAGAGAGGAAGGAGAGAGCAGTTCGCAGTTTTCGTCACTGTGCGTAGGGTTGATTGTTCAGCCCATATCTTGAGCTTCACTCGTTCAAATCAGGCGTGTGAGGTGTCCAGAGAAAGATCTTAAAACAAGGATTCTGGAATGGTGTAGATCGCGACGATCGGAGTTGAGGAAGGCTTCCAAATCTGCGTTTGAAAGTACGACCCTGCAGCAGGGTTTCTTCTTCTCTAGGGGTGAGTTGAACCCGAAAACTTCCTTTTCTTTACATAGATCGTATGTAAGGTTTAGGAGGCCATTCCACTTTGTTCTTAGGGTAGAATGTATTCATGAAATGTCAGACATGTGAGTTTAAAGGTTAGGCACTAACCTTAAATGAACCTTGAACGGTTAGGAAGTAAACTTGCCGGGGAACACCTCTTCAAGAGGACTGTTTAGTTTCGTGGCAGGAGGGTGGAGCCAGCTGCTGAGCCAGCTGCTGAGAGAAGGCTGCTGCCCACTCATTTTTTTAACGCAAGGAGTTAGCTCGCAACCTTCCTTGGCCGAGCCTTGATCGTTGGAGCGTGAAAGGAAGTCTAAAGCTCTTTAAGGTGAGGATTGACATCTAATTGCTTACAACTTGTAGGTTAAGCATGAGATTACCTAAATGCTTAAATCATTATTTTTCATGGATTATGATGATCATATATTGATGAAATATTGATATAGTTGCCAAAGAATGAAATTTGAAATGATTTGAGAATGTATGAATAACATGAGATTTAATGAGTATAAATGAACTGTTTTTTTGCGAAATAGGTATTTTGCTCATGTATGAAGTATTTGGATACATAAACGAATATTTGTGTATTGAGATTGAATACTTAAGTTGCTGCTACATATTTGTAATTATGTAGAGAA